TATTATATGTATAGATTTACCAGAACAGCTTTTTAAGATTTTAAGGCTAAAATCAAACATTTACTAATTGTAAGTAAAGCGTATTACTTTTATCGAAGAGCTTCATGTAGATGTAATTGTGTGAAAAATGAATTGATTTGTATGTAGAAAAGCTGACCGATTTTGGCCACGGCGACAAATCTCACCGAGACTAGCCAACTGCCCAGGAGATATTATATTTCACAAGTGTACATGCGACACAAGTGCACTCTCTATTCCTCTTACTCTGAAAGTCCAATGGGACGGTACTTCGACACGTAAAAATACTGTAGTTCGACATTTATAACAGCAGCTGTTGAGTTTCTCAGGCTCTTCTCAGCTAAACTGCCTTCCAAGCCGGTGATAGCTTTCTCACAGACTGAGTCTTTACATTAAGTTGACGATAATACTTTCTTAGATTTACGCGAATATTTGACATTTTAAATAAAATTCTTTTCGGATTTTTTCGCGGATTTATTTTGATGTTTGGTTACCGACGTTTCGAATGCTTTACAGCAATCATGGTCACGGGACCGTTTATTTATGTTAACGATTCAAAAGTGCTTGTAAAAGTTTAATTGAATTAAGTTAATTTTAACTTTGATTTTTAAAGATAGTAACAAGATTAAGGTATTTTTATTATGTTATTTGAATCCAGCATTGACCGCGGCTCTGCCGAGTTTACCTTCTCAGAAAGCTACAATTTTCAGCCCAGCTGGGCAGAAGATTGTCTGAAAGTATCATCAAAATCGCTCCAGCCGTTTTAGAATTCATAGAGAACATACATCGATTTTTGTATACATAAATTAATTGCCTACATGGGCTTGTTATTAACGTAATATAATTAATTATATTGAAAAGTTGTTTTAACACGAGTCATAAAATCACATTTGTAAAACCCCTATTTTAATAAAGAACAAGCAACTTACCTTCCCTCCGCTCGGGTTCGTCCCTACTTACGTTTTGTCGTTTAGTGTAGATTTCTCAGAGATCAGATATTTTCCCGTAGTAAAAAGTATCCTTATAAGTAAGTTGACCTGGACAACCAGCTACCATCATACCAAATTTCATGAAAATCCCTCCAGTGGTTTTTCTGTGTTGCGGTCACAGACAGACAGACAGACCAAAATTCTAAAAACTATACTACTAACTATTATAGATTCGGCCTCTGCATCGATAATAATGACTATTTGAATAAGATTCCAAAAATATTTAATGTACAGATTCGGCTTAGTTACAATTTTATTATATGTATAGACAAAGTAGCAAACACATTCGAATATGCTAGCCATGAAAAATCACTAACACATTTCATCCACTGACTTTACAGTATCTCTAAAATGTTATAAGATTTGCATTTCCTGTCTGATATTCGCTTTGAAGATATCACTATTCTGTTGTATGATATCAAATTTTGAACATCTATAAAACGGCAAAGGAATGCTGCAACAAAATTGATTGTATTTAACTTTGTAAAATTTGATATTAAAGTTTTGACTGGCCGCGGCTCAGGCCATTTCTGCAACAATATTATGAAATAACACTATACATTTAATTTCTACACTAAATTTCGCTTTATTGTTGCTCGACGAATACTTGAAACAGACGGAAGTAGACCATGGAAAATCTAAATATAACGAATATATAAATTTCATCCCGAGCAGGAATCGAATCTGTTACACCGATCATTGACTGTCATCAAAACATGACGTTGGAAGGAAACATAAAAGATTTGTAAACATAGGAAAATCAGTAAGTTTTAGAATATTATAACAATTAATTAGGTTTCAATTCACTTTATTGTTTAATCTTAGCTATAAAGATACATTACACATGTAGCTTAGTTTCATTTCAGTACCTTGGCGACCGGCCTTGGTGGTGGTGTTTATTTCCGAAAATAATATATAAATGAGTTTGTTTAGAATAGATACATATATGTAGATAAAGTTAAAAAGCAAAACCTAGTCTAAATATGAAACTTGATACAAATCCTTAGAACCGTTTCCGAGATATATGAAATAAATATATGTATGGAATCGCCTATTTAATTTTATAAGATAATATTTATGTATACATGTACATAAATAATGAAAGGTATACCCTATAGGTTACGTACCTATTTTTGTCGCCACAATAATAGATGGGATTATGCTATGTTGTTTGTATGTGGGCTTAATTTAATAGAAAAAAAAATACTTACTCGAGTGAAACCGTAGACAATATCTAGTTTTAAAAACAATTAAATCATACAGGTTTTCATAAATAGCTACAATTTTCCTCTCAGTCCGTTGGCAGTATTTGTATTTTAATTGTATTGTATTCCAGATATAACATGCAAGGAAATTTAACTGTGCTCTTTAAAATGAACGTGGACTTTACCGTAATTAGAATAATTCAAAGCACGCTATGTTTATTCAATACTCTCTGTAAGATATATATTTTACTAACGACTTACCCTTGCTTTGTTCGGATTTGTCCTTAAGTGCTTTCTGTATTTATATAGCAGCTGTAACATATTTAAATATGTTGTGACATTAACACACAACACCATCTAGTTCCATGGTAAGCTACGAGGCTTGTGTTACGAATACCAGATAGTTGATACACTACACATATATAATATAATAATATTAACAATGCAGCGCCACCTTTTGGTAAATTTTATTACTTACTATCAGCTTATATGCTACTCCAGATCATAGTCTAACCATATATTATATTTTATCCAAATTTATCAAACCATCTTAGCATAAAAGAGTAATATTATAACAATATAAAAAATATATCAACACATGTTATTTATTTATTTTTACCGGTAGGACTCTGTCAAGTCTGAGGAATCTGACTGGATGGGTACCACTCCCTTAACTATTTCTCCCTAGCAACATTGATCGCATTATTGTGTTACAGTTTGAAGGATAAGGTAGCCAGTACAATTACAGGCAAGAGGTATATCATCTAATTCCTCACAGTGACAACGCACCTGCGGTTGTGCATTTTTGTTACCTGAAAGCTAAGTGATGTATCGTAGGTTTATGGGCGACAGATACTGCTTTCCAACAGTAGGCTGTTTGCTCGTTTATCACTGAGCACAATAAAAAAAATTAATGGACGATACGATTCATGTGCATTTAAATTTAGAAAATGGCTAGATTTTTTTAAGAAGTTATCTATGTATATGAATATTTATTTTATTTTATTATATTGTTGGTTTTAATGTAGTGACAGCAACGAGAACTCGAGTCTCAGAGACCATCTGGGGGGAGGCATGTTTAACCATTATTTTAAGGAGGGGCGAACTCAGAACGTTAATTAAACTCGTTATTAAATTTAGAATCTGGTCACAGGGATTCATAAAAATGTTTTTGTACCTAGCGCTTCCTTTATGAGAGTTTTATGTTTTACGAATTTTGTTTATTTTGTAAATATATTATGAAGATTTAAGATGCAAGTTGGATTTATTTTTTGTTGATGCAAACATAATTTGCATCAACTTTGTACTTCACTCATGGAAGTTTATATTTATAATATGTATGTATTTAAAGTTATATATGTGCAGTGGATCAACTATCTGGTATCCATAACACAATCTCGTAGCTTACCATGGAACTAGATGGTGCTGGGTGTTAATGTCCCAACATATTTATTTATTTATACTGGATATATGATTTTCTGTCGATATTTTGCTTCCTATTCTTTTAGTTAAGAAAGAAAATTGACTCGAAAGATCGTAAAATGCACCTGAAATTTAATGGGAATAAACGTGTATTTGAAGCATAAAACAATAAGGCATACTTCGTCTAAACTCTAATCTAATGCCTTCCGCCGTCGTGTACTGGTATACAGGGTAGGTGGGATATGGACCTTGAATATTGAAGTTATCAGGTTTTCTTCAAAGGACATCCATAAGTAAATAAATATATAATAAATGCATTTAATTTTTTTTTTAAACTTACCTGAACCGGCAATCGAACCAACTAAAAATAAAATGATCTATGGTAAGGAGAAAATCTCTCGAACAAACATTGTATCATACAGTTGAAGAAAGCCATGAAATCTTAGAATTTATACACATCGACTCTAGTTAATATCTTGGAAAAAAGACACAGGACATTGAAGGAAACTGAAAATATCTAATTTAATTTAAAGGAAATATTATAGATATTATTGTATTATTAAAAATAATAAAATAATATTTTATAATAAAATGTTATTAAAATTTACTGCATTTAAATCTTTTAAAATTTTCTTTTTGAAATATCGACAAAACTACTAATGACGTATGTATAATGTGTGACAAGGCTTATCCTACTAATATTATAAATGCGAATGTTTGTGAGGAGGTATGGATGTCTGGATATATAGATGTTTGTTACTCTTTCACGCAAAAACTACTGAATGGATTTTAATGAAACTGTACAATAATATAGCTCATTCATCAGAATAACACATAGGCTACATTTTATCCCGGAAAAATATACGGTTCCCGTGGGATAGATTTGTTTTTGGGTGAGCCGTTACTTTTTAATAATTATAGAAAAATATGATATTATATATACCTACTAATTAGCGAGCCTACTGGTTTCGCCCATGTATTAAGGCACAGACACCTAGCATAAGTTATAGTAATATATGTAAATCACTTGTTATATTTTTATATTCAAGTAAATTAAATGTTAATGGTACTATTTCAATAAACATACTACGTAGACGTGAGTGCACCAGTTTTGAGTTTGCTAATTGAAAAATCAATTACATGTTTGGAAATAAAATATATTTAAAATATAGGGCATTTGTGATTTTCTATAATAATAACATACTCAAAGTAATTAGAAAAAAATATTCAAATTATACACTACATATTTTCACAAACTTTTGGATAATATTCACTTATCACGTAAGAGATGTTCATTGTATGCCATACATGGCTCTTCTAAGATACGAGCATGTCACCGACAACTTTGTTTCTTATTAGTTTTTCATACGTAAGTTTCTGGCATAATGGAAGTACTGTCACTGTTTGGCGAAATATTCTCTCCGCTAAGTATTTCATTAATAGATGGGATATCAATAACTCCGTATATCCTCTTACATTGCACAGGAACCTCTTCCCCCAAATTATTTTTGTATGGAATCACTACTTTTAGTTCATCGTCGTCAAACAACCACAGCACCTGACTGTGTTTAAGTATTTCCGGTAAAATTCGAACATCTTCAAATTTCTTTCCATTCGCTTCTACTATAGTAGATATAACTCGATTGTTTATTTTAACACTTATATTTGGATTTTTATACTCAGGAAGATTATATTTAAGAACGTAGTTTGATCCATATATTTCTTTAGTGCGATTTTCATTTTGCTTACACGTGTCGTGAAGAGCGATGTCTATATCTCGTAATTTTCTGGAAATGTCGGCAAATAGTTCGATATTACGGTGATTAGGCAATCGAGGGTACTGGTGATAGTGCTTGTGCAGCCGTGGGTGTCTAAAGTGACGTGGTTGGTGTCTACATCTAAAACCTTCTGTGGCAGTGAAAATTAAAAATATAACCAAAACGCGATACATTATTCCTACTTCTGCGACACTACTGAGGCGAAATGTACCGTTTGTGAGATAACCTCAAAGGTCAGCCTTCATATACTCAACGTCTTATAATATTACTAGCGGCTCACCCTCGCTTCGCTCGGGTTCGCCTCTGGAAAAACACTAATAAAGATCTATTAGTTCCCACAGGGACAGTTCATTTTTCCGGGATGAAAAGCAACCTGTTGTTTGACCGGCAATGTAAGATATCAGAATGTCAAATTTTACTAAATTAGGTGCATAAGTAGTTGTGTACTAAGCTGTATAAGATACTATAGTTTTTTAACTATCCCACGGGAACTCTTTAATTTTCTGGGATAAAAAGTATCTAAGATTGTTGACTGGGGATATAAGGTACCACCATGCAAAATTTTATTTAAATCGGTCCAATAGATTCGGAGATTAGCCCGTACAAACAGACAAACAGGCAGAGAAACAAAAAAATTGAAAAAAAAAAACTGGATTTGTTCTATTTGTCTTCTTACATCCCCCCTGACTCGGTTTTTAGCATTTTTTTGCGATGTACAGACATTCGACCTCTACTGTTTTATAGATTAGTTTCTACACTAATTTAACATATATGACGTCTGTGTTATATCAGGGGAATATCGACAGTGATGATAATAATTTCAACTGACTTCAAAATAAATATGTTATTATTATCTAGATCCGTATTTGTGTATTATTTAATATAGTTAGCAAAAGAAGAACGAACCCACTGACCCCAAAAAATAGGTATTTCTACAAATACTTTCGCTGTATAGTTAATTTTGTGAACACCGATCCACCTATCGACACGATCATTAGATTAAATAGCTAATTTTGTTGTATATTTTTTTTTTTATAAATTGTCTTAATATATAAAATTCCCGTGTATCGATGGTGGTCGGGGATGAACTCCGAAACTACTTATCCGGTCTTAACGTATTTTTTTTTTCAAAATGTATGATTTGTTCCAACTAAAATACCCAGATAGATAAGAGGTCAAAAAACAACTATAATCATTATCGAAAATATGAGGAAAACTATATGAATAGAATTTACCTATGTATTTAAAAAAACGACTTTACGAAATGTTTGATCGATAACACCAAAGTCCGTCAATAGCTACTAAACAAAAAAAACCGTTAACAAAGAGAAGGGAAAAAAGTACTGATCTGTTTTGTCTTTGCCTATTTACATATAGGAGTATATAGATATAACATCTATACATATAGTAAAATTGTAACTAAGCCGAATCTGTACATTAAATATTTTTTGGAAAATCTTATTGAAATAGACATTATTATCGATACAGAGGCCGAATCTATAGTTTATAGAATTTTTGTCTATCTGTCTGTCTGTCTGTCTGTTACCGCATCACAGAAAAACCACTGAAGGGATTTTGATGAAATTTGGTATGGTGATAGCTGGTTATCCGGGTCAACATATAGGATACTTTTCACCGCGGGAAAAAATTTTATTTCTGAGAAAAAATACAAAAACGGTATTGTAAGAGTATACTAATATGTAAAACCCAACAATTTGCTTTTTGGTCATCTGAACGCGGGCGGAGCCGCGGGCAATGCTAATACTTAATATTTTTAATAATTTAAGTATAGCAAGTATGGAGATTATGAGCCTGGGGGCGTAGACAAGATGACATATCTAAGTGACATGTCACATTGCCAGATTTGTATTTTTCATATATTTCTATGTTTTTTATAAGACATACTATCAACTCACCCTTGCTTCGCTCGGGTTCGTCCCTACTACGTTTTAAAGTTTAGTATACATTTCTCAGAAATGAGATATTTTCCAGCAGTAAAAGGTATTCTATATGTTGACCCGAATAACCAGTTATTTATTATCATACCAAATTTCATCAAAATCTGTCCAGTAGTTTCCTGGTGATGCAGTAGCAGACAGACAGACAAAAATTCTAAAAACTATAGATTCAGCCTCTGTATCGATAATAATGACTTTTAATAAGATTTTCCAAAAAATATTCCAGATTCGGCTTAGTTACAATTTTATTATACGAGTATTTAGGTACAGATTAGGTAGTGTACCTATGTAATAAAATCCACAATCCAAGCTCAATATTACTGAAATTTATACCCGTCTATAAATTTAACTAGCCTGTTGCTCTTCTGAGTTGTTGGTATCTACTTTAAAGACGTGCCTCCTCGTAACCTGCAATCTTGAGACACCTGCGTCTGATTTCAGCTTTATTAAATGGAGGGATGTTTCCTTTACAGGGGGTTTCCTTAAATATATTATTTTTCCTATATTTTTTTAACTTAGATTTACCAAAAGAGGTAAAAATGATTTTTTAATCATTTTATCCCGCATTAATAAAAACAAATATAGTAAATACATACATCTATGCTAATATTATAAATGTGAAGGTTTGTGAGTATGTATGGATGTTTGTTACTCTTTCACGTCAGAAAGGCTGAACGGATCTGGATGTAATTTGGCACAGAGATAGATTATATTCTGGAATAACACATATACTTTTTAAATAATAATGAAAAATATACGGCTCCCGAGGGATAGATTTATTTTTGTTAAGCGAGGGTGAGCCGCTAGTATATAATATATGTAATAAAAATATTTGAATAATTAATAAGTTATACATAAAAAAATTATGTGCTATTTCTGGTCTTTGCTTATTATTTTTTAAATTACCAAAATCCTCATTTTTCTATTTTTATAGGCAAGTAACTGCATCAGCAGCTCACATAATATAATGGGTGACCATTTATTAAAAAAAGAGATGGACAAGCCGTCGGCCACGGGCTATAATCATACGTCGGCTAACGCAAAGCCATATGGACTTTAAGTATAAGAAATTAGAATCTTTATTTGAATGAATGAATGAATGAATCTTTGTTCTGTGGCTTATAGAATCTTTATATAAAAAATTCAAAACTGTTCAGTACCGTTTTCTCCTCTGTTTGTTTGTCAACCAATTTTCTTTTTTATTTTATTTTTTGTTTAGTAACTATTGACGAGCTTTTAGTTACCAATAAAAAAAATATGGTCAACTTATGACCAGTGGGCTGTATGCCTAGTATGTATAAAAGCTATAAGTAACTAAAATAGTAGGGTTCTAAAAAATAGATCTTTCTTTCTTCTTTATTATTTCTTTATTTATTCTTTCAAATACTCAATAATATATCATATCGATGTGCTGCTTTTTGTTTACAAGTCATTACCACTTTTTTATTTATCTTAATTTTTTAAATCTTCATAACTATATCAATTTTTTCTAATCCGTTAGAAAGCACACATCATAAAATATACAGCTTTTATGAATATTACTGTAATAAGATTTCACATAAATGGGATTTTTATAACGTTCTTAAATTTCGCGGAATTGACGGCATGAAAAAATATAAATATTAATAACTAAGGACTTTAGCGATCACAAAACTCGGAGATACTTGAAAGTTTTTTAAATAATATATAACCATTTTTTTTTCTAAGAAGAGATACACAATTAATGTTTTTTTTTGTGCAAAAATAAGTACTTATTTATGAAAAACAAATCGGAAAAGTGCGATTCTGACTCGCACACTAAGGTTTCTGTACCATAATATATTTTAAATTAAATTTATAATCACAATTTTACATGCAAGATTTTGAAAACTTTATAAACAATAGAAACTTTTAAAATAAAAATATATATGTACATAAAAATGAAATTATACATTAAAAAAGAAAAGATATATCTCAAAGTTGTTTTCCTCAACGCTTAGCTGTCAAACCATCACTCTATGTTAGAAATGTCACACATTTCGACTTATAAAATATTACATAAGAATGGCTTTTACACCCTCCACCTCCTTCTCCCCCTCTCCAAAGATAAGGGTGTGTAGAGATTTTGAGATCTCCCTTTCCTCATGACCCTTAGTTAATTAATGAATGGCCCCTTATTGCCAAACTATCCATGCATATATTTATGGTCGTGACAGTACCTATAGGTACTCAATAAAGCATAATTAGGGTGTTCTAATCATATTATATTAAACAAAAAATAATCCACGTCTTACGGTAGAATTATTTCTTATAAAGTGAGTGAGTACCTAAATACAGTGAGTAACTACTTTTATGAAAGATACAGATGCTTCCCAATACAAACTTACATCCCCATTTTCACCTCCTTAAGGGATGATTTCCGAGATAAAAAGTATCCTATGTCCTTCCCAGGGCATCAAACTATCTTTTTACCAAATTTCATATAAATTGGTTTAGTAGATCCAGAGATTACCCCCTACAACGTCACAAACTAACAATTTCACAAACTTATATATTACTTTATAATATTAGTATAGATGCAGGTTAATAGGTACAAAAATCCGTTTATAAATAGAATGAAATAAAGAGCGCATAGAAATTATTTTTATGTATAGGTCTTATAATAAATCTAACAATTTAAATACGGTACTTTAAACCCCAAGAGATTTTTTTGGTGGATTGTTTATAGACAGATTATTCTCAAAGACTATTCACTTATTATCATTCAATAAATATATTTGGCACATAAAAATCATAATATTACATTTAAAAGGCGATAGAATAAAAGTGTTAGAATTTATAAAATAGTTTTTGCTTGAAATATATATAGACCATAGTCCACCACATTGGTTAAGTGCGGGTTCGCGGACTATACATGTTTTTTAAAAACTTGCTAGTTTCTCTCAGACATACAGGTTTCCTCAAGATGTTTTTTTTCATCATTAAAACAAATGGTAATCATGTTCGAAATGATTCACACATATCAGAGGTGCGACATCCGGGATTTGAACCCGCTTCACTCAGTTTCCCAAGCGAGCGCGTTACCACTGTGCTACCACTGCCTTATTAATATTTATAATCTATGCGAACAATGAATTGCTGCCTTAAATTAATATCATTCGATATAATACCGTCGTTGGCCATTTTCAAAGACCGACAGATTCTTATCAAAGTCAATAGTATAACGAGACAATAAA